TCTGGCAACATTTTAACTCGCTTTCTTGGTGGAGCTACAGCTACTTCGGTCGGAACCACCACCAGCACGTGAACAGGGCCCTTCAGATCCTCCACTTCTTCTTTGCTCACTTGAATCCGCACTTCATCTTCTGAAAGCCCAACATCACCGATTGCCGCTCGCGCTGATTTTAGTAATTTCAGATCAGTTGTGTCATCCACACCCCTCATCGCTTCTTCTTCCGTCACCCACGCGCCATGGCCCTTGTCTTTCTTCGCCAGAAATAGCTGCAGGTTCTTCGGAGCGACATTCCTTAAAGTTGGGTCATCCAAGTTCTTATTCTTGATCGCATCTTTCAAATGGCCCACCGAAAGGCTCGCATCGATGTCCACGGGAAACGCGCTTCCCACCTCACCAACAACAGCACAGTACAGCGTCAACAACTTTCTTCGAGCCGGCGGATTCGGAAATGAAAATGAAAGGGAGAAAATTTCTGTTCGTATCTAAGCGGAAATGAAGGCGTGTCACATAGACTTGCGTGGTTGAATGACACCTGGCGATAAGAAAAAATGCCGACGTAATGTGCTGCGCTCAACGAGGTTAGCATGATTTTCGCTTCGAATAAATCCTCCTTTGCATATAATCCCACTGTTGCTATGTGCGGTGTTTGAAGGTACGAAGGAGGTCTTCCTCGCACCAGAGGGCGTCTAAAGATAGCGTCTTTAAAAACCGCAGCTGTTGTTGAAGAAGCTTTGAAACTTACCCTCGATGCGAAGAAAAAAAATGACGTTGTAATGTTCTAAATATTACTATTATGACAGAATTACCACTAAGATTTGGGTGGAAGTAGCTCGTATCAGAATCATCTGTTTTGCTAACGAGGTTAGAGCAGAGGGCAATGTTGACTTGTCTGACTCACATAAACGTTTTCAAGCTTGACATTAAGTCATCACGGTAGAATCCTTCGTGTACGTGCGATTCCATGTGGTTTCCCTTGAAAAAGCGAAAGTGAGGGTCAGTCTTATAGTCTGGTGATAAGTTCTTCTAAAAGTCGCTTGAGACTGACCTTGTACTGCTTTGCTGTAAGCTCTTAGTTTCTGGGGCGCGATAAGTTGTTCAAATACACCATCTTACCGGTCCTACCACGAACCTTAACTCGGGAGCTGCTTTATTTAATCCTTGAGACCATCAACTCTCAAGACGCAATCTTTAGACGCCCTCTGGTACGAGGTTGACCTCCTTCGTACCTTCAAGCACCGCAAACAGTGGGATTACATGCAAAGAAAAAAAAGGATTCCTTGAAGCAAAAATCATGCTAACCTCGTTGAGCGCAGCACATTACGTCGGCATTTTTTCTTATCGCCAGGTGCCATTTAACTCCGCCTTCATCATTGGATGGAAGTCTATGTGACACGCCTTCCTTTCCGCTTAAATACGAACAGAAATTTTCTCCCTCTCTCATTTGCATTCCAGAATCCCGCCGTCTCGAACAAAAATAGTGACGCTGTACTGTGCTGTCGTTGATGAGGTGGGAAGCGCGTTTCCTGTGGACATCGATGCGAGCCTTTCGGTGGGCCATTTGACAGATGCGATCAAGAATAAGCAGGAGTTTGACTTCGCTGCCAACAAATCAGAGCTATATCTCGCGAAGAAAGACAAGGGCCGTGGCGCGTGGGTGACGGAGAAAGAGGTGAATGAGTTGTTAATGACATGAACAGTCTGAAGCTAATGGACGTTGCGGGAGCACCGCTCAAATTTGTTGGCTTATCGGAGGAAGACGTGTGGGCAAAAACGACCCCTGCTCACGTGCTGGTGGTGGTTCCGGTGAATGCAGTGGATGATGGCGCTTGGAGCGCGAAGGAGTTTTCTACTGTGGACCCTCAAGTTCAACTGAAAATGTGGAGGTCAGTTGTCAGAGTTTCCTCAGAAGATGTATGCTCAGGATCAA